AGAACTAGAAAGGCGAGGCTCACCACCCATTTATCCCTCCGCCTTTCAACCAGCCCCACATGTGGTTATCGGCCAGGCTGGCACAATTAACTAAGTCACACGTCCACAGCACGAGGGACAGATTCTCGCCATTCTTGCCTCTGAGGAGCATTCCGATTGTCCTTTTTGTGAAGACGAATGTGAACACTCTTCTGTAGTGCCCTTTCTCGGTGTCCGGCTTGCACAGCACATGAGCCGACTGACCACCATGGCGGGGATTTGAGAGGCAAGTGCATCAAAAGGGCAACAAGCAGCTGGACGCTGGATCTGGCTGTGGACAAGAGCAGTCTCAGAGGGGAGAGTCGGAACGCTGACATAGTCCGGTGGTAGATCCTGCTAGTCGCCTTAGAGTGACCAAAGATGAGTTTTATGGAAACAACAATCTTTACGTCTGATACTGCGTGAAGCCCCAACAGGTGCACCTAGGGATCCAATCAATGGTTTCTGGAACCATCCACCTCTTCTCTGACCGGGTAGCCCCCTCATCTCACACACACACACACACACACACACACACACACACACACACAGTGGGTGGCAGGGCTGTTAGCATTCCACCTGAGAGACCACAGTTCCCGGGACTCCAGTGCCAGCCGGAAGAGTGGCCGTTTGAACTCACCCAGAAGCACCGCGGAAAAAAGCCCTGGCAGCCCTGCGGGGCCATCCCACCCTGAAGCACACTGTGGTCACCACCAGGTGCCTGGATCAATGCCGCAGTGTCCAGCAACCTCAACGGCCCTACATCAACACAAACCAAACCCATCTGGACTCGTAGCCACAACCCTAGACACCCCGGTACAGCCATGGGCACAGGCACTAATCAGGAAGTGGCCCTGCCTAGCACCCTCCCCGCCCCGAGGGGCCCGAGTGGAGCCAGAAGGTGGCCCCCTTGGCTGTGGGTTACTTTCTGAGAACATCACTGCTGCGGCGTGAGCTGTGCAGAGCCTCTCTTGGGGGTGTTGCCAGCTCAGCTAAGCAGCCAGGCAGCCGAGTGAGCCCCCTCAATCAAGCCTGTGGGCTTGTTTTTCCCCCTTGGTTTTTGCTTCCTAAGAATGAGGCTGGTGACAGCCACCCACCAGCCTCCTACTCGCTGGTTTAAACCGGCGCGTGCTGA